AGGTACATGGTGACAACTCTTATGGAATCAACAGGTACACAATGACAACTCTGATGGAATCAACAGAAACATGGTGACAACTCTGATGGAATCAACAGGTACATGATACAAACTCTGATGGAATCAACAGGAACATGATGATAACTCCGGTGGAATCAACAGGTACATGATGACAACTCTGATGGGATCAACAGCAACATGATGACAACTTTGGTGGAATCAACAGGTACTTGATGAAGACTCTGATGGAATCAACAGGTACACAATGACAACTCTGATGGAATCAACAGGTACATGGTGACAACTCTTATGGAATCAACAGGTACACAATGACAACTCTGATGGAATCAACAGGTACATGGTGACAACTCTGATGGAATCAACAGGTACATGATGACAACTCTGAAGGAATCAACAGGAACATGATGACATCTCCGGTGGAATCAACAGGTACATAATGACAACTCAGATGGGATCAACAGCAACATGATGACAACTCTGGTGGAGTCAACAGGTACATAATGACAACTCTGATTGAATCAACAGGTACATGATGACAACTGTCGTGGAATCAACAGGTACATGATGAAACCCTGATGGAATCAACAGGTACATGATGACAACTCTGGTGAAATCAACAGGTACATGATGACAATCCTGATGGAATCAACAGGAACATGATGACAACTCTGGTGGAATCAACAGGTACCCCCGGTACATGATGACAACATTGATGCATTCAACAGGTACATGATGACAACTCTGGTGGAATCAACAGGTACATGATGACAATCCTGATGGAATCAACAGGAACATGATGACAACTCTGGTGGAATCAACAGGTACCCCCGGTACATGATGACAACATTGATGCATTCAACAGGTACATGATGACAACTCTGGTGGAATCAACAGGTACATGATGACAGCTCCGGTGGAGTCAACAGGTAGATGATGACAACTCTGGTAGAATCAATAGGTACATGATGGCATATCTTGTAGAATCAACAGGTACATGATGGCATATCTTGTAGAATCAACAGGTACATGATGACAACTCTGGTGGAATCAACAGGTACATGATGACAACTCTGATGGAATCAACAGGTACAGAACGACAGCTCCGGTGGAGTCAACAGGTACATGATGACTACCCTAATGGATTCAACAGGTACATGATGACAACTCTCTCTTGAACTCCCATTTATTTCCCCAGAAACCAGCACACAAGTAGCCACCTGGTCCCTTGGCTTTGAACTCTGGTCCAGTTATAACAAAATCTGGTACCATATTGGAGAACTACAAAAAAAAGAATCGTAAATCTGATTAGAAAACATATAGCATAATACAATGTAACCTTGACCACAAAAGGGTGCACTTCTGATTATAGGTTTTGTAGATTCTGCCTTTGAGTATGTCAGATACAGCTCAAGTAAACAAACAACAACAAATGTTAAATTTATTGCATCCAACAAATTTCCTTTCACTAAAATTTTTCACCTTCACCCATTAGTTATAAAAATGGTTTGTCTAAATATGCATACAATGTAAATTATTTATTTAGTAATTTCTATAATACATGAAGATGTAGTAATTAGAAATGGAACCCAATTAAGTGTTGAAAGACAATGTTAAGAATAATTGACATGCAAATCAGATAATATCTGTAGTTGTCTTTGCATTACCCTTCTTTTCTTTTCAAGAATATGCCATTAAATGGAAAAAATGAGTTTTCTGTCTACTATCAATAATTTATTTTGTTTGATTCATGTTTCACTGTATGAATTGTCTGGTTACAATCATTCGGTTATTGCTGGTACTAGCATGCAGGTACTAATACATGTATGTATTTGACTCGTAAAGATCCCACCAAAATATTAACTTAAATCAATTTACCCATGGCATGAACTACAGATGTGTGGCAGTAAAAATAATTTTTGAATTTCTTTGAGGCATTGCTTTTTTTGATTGTAAGGCCAGACTTTTATTAACCCTTGTTTCGCAACCTCGCTGAATGAACAGGAGCCGAAAATGAAATAAAAATAAAATTT